CGGCCCTGCCCCGCCCCCTCCCTCCCTCAGCCTCAGGGACCCATCACTCACCCTCGGCCCCTCCTGAGCAGCCCCCACCCACACAAGCCTGGCGTCCACCCCAAGACCCTCAGCAGACAGGACTGGAAACAAGCCCTGTGGTCCTTGGGGTGATCCTCCCGCTGCCCCGCCCCCACATCTCCCGCAGCTGCTGTCACTGCAAAGGCTCAGAGTCATGGCCACCCGGCCTCAGGCTTCCTTTGTAGCGCTGACATTTTATGGCTCAGGATGCAGACTCTCTCCATTTTCACAGCTTTTACCAAAAAGCCAAAGTAACACATTCTCCTTTTAGAAAACTTGGAAAATTCAGAAGAAAATAATATGAGGGAAAAAAATCCCCCAAGTCTACCCGCTCCTGGAGAGACACCTGACCTTCAGGGGGGTCGTCATTTAGGAGAAGGCAGAGGAGAAATTACCAGCCAGCCGAGGTCCTGGAAGCTGACATAGAGCTCGTGCCGACGGCACACCTGCCGACCGTGAGAGCCGTGGGCGCCATCTGCGGGGACAGACGTGCGAGGTCATTCCTGGGGCCCTGCTCTGTGCCGCGCCCACGGGGGCTCCCTGGGCGGGGTATGCCCTCACGGGCTCATTTGTGGGATAAGTGAACGATGGAAAACCAAGCCATTGGGTCCCTCAAAGCCCATCCCTGCTGCTCAGCTGGTGTCTGACCAGCTCAAGAGCCTTCGATGGTTCCCAGTGGCTCCAGCAGAAGCCACGCTCCGCCCAGCCTCCCGCTCAGCCTGTGGGCCCCCTGATGCTCCATAACAGCCCAGGGGACCTTTCTGCCACCAGGTGGTGGCAGCTCCACCTTCCCTCCTGAGACACCTGCCTGCACCCCACCCGTCCTGCCACACCCCTGCACAGGTCACGTGGCTCATGTTGAGGCCAAACAAGGGGGTGAGACCCATCCCCCTGATTCTGAGGCTCTCGCCTGGTGAGGAGACCTTTTCCTAAACAATTGTGCATCAGGGAGGGCCTGGGGAGCCGGGGGAGGCCTGAGAGACAGTGCATGGCCGGTCCACAGGGGGTGCGGGGCAAGGGAGGGTGTCAGGAGGGTGGCTGGAGGGTGACCACTGGCTTGACCCCTTGTGAGGGCCAGAAGGTTCTGCCACCACCACTGATCCTCGGCCTACAGCCTCGGGCCCCGGCCGCCCGGCCTCACCAAAGATCCCCGGGAGCCTGTTGGGCTGCGGCAGCTCGTTGGTCTTCTTCAGCAGCCGCCTCCTCAGGGGCCTCACCGCCCGAGGGGCCCGGATGGGGCTGGGGCTCGCCCTGAAAAACGTGACCATGAAGGGCTGTTTGGAGCGCGGTGCCCGTCGCCCCAGCAGACCGGCCAGGCCAGGATCCACGCTGTGCCCTGGGACAGAGAGGAGAGAGGGCGGTCACTGAGGGCGGCGGCTCTGCCGCGGGCACAGCAGCAGCTCTGCCAGGGCCTGGGCGGCCCAGGAGCCTGAAGGCCGAGGACCTGAGGCGGCCGCCGTGCCTGCTTCCCCCCTCTG